TTACTTGTTCTTTTTGTAGAAAAGTCAACAGTTACACAAAGAAGTGGAATTTTAATTAAGTCAAACAACATTTTGGTCTTGTGATGCATTCTTCCACCGTTAATGAAGATTATCTTAAAAGCTTTTGCAAACAAACAGATTAATATAAACTATTTTAATGGGCTGTGGGAAAGTACAATGAATTTCCTTTTGACTCCAAAGTCACATTTCTCTCCTTTTAAAAGTGGATATTTTAAGCACCAGGTTCTAGTTTTTAGATTTTAGTATTTAGTAAATTTAGCATTTTCTTATTCATTTATTTATTTAGTCGGTAGCTCACCTTTTTTTCATCTAATATAAAATAAAATTAAAACAACACTAAATTATATAACTGTATGTCTTTACTATAAAATCATTTTTAAAAGGTTTATATATAGTTTTTATACATAGGTAGAAAATTATCCACCTGCGAAAGTATGTTAAATAATATAATCTGAAAACAATCAGGGAGCAGTTTTGAATGCATCAAAGCCAAGGGTGGTTTTGCTATAAACAGTGTATTGTAATTCGAAACAGTATTGCCACATTAAAGAAATCTGTTCTTCAAACAGTTGTTTAGACAAAAGAGCATAGCACTGAGGTTAATCTAAAAGAATGTTATTCTTCAATACCAATGGCTTCTAATTTTCCATTTAGTCTAGTCAGAGACTTGCAGGGATTGTGCAATTCCCTGCTTAAAATGTGTGTAATTCTCCCCAAAATGAAAACCGGTCTAAACAACCCCCCCTCCACAAAACGGATGGAGACCTCAACTCAAAGTTAAAACCCTTCACTTTACTTGCTGGGAAATGTTTGCAAAATGGTCACAAGTTTAATAAATAGGGAACTGAGCTCTATGTCATCACTTCAAGCTGTGCTAACACGTCACGACCGAAGTATTATGGTGCTTAAGCTCCTGTAAAATCCACCTACTACAGTAGGTGTATCATCCCTGTTTATTGAAAAGCAAATACAGATATTCCCATTTAAGGTCCGCATTACATTCTGTAAAACAGGACGGTGACAATTTGGATGCTGATCAAATGTTACCATCAACAATACAAATGTTAACTATTACAAATATAAATACAAGTAAAATTGATGACATCATCAGACATTAAGCACTATCAGTAAACAGAGCAGAATGGGCATATTCCATCTATAGTAAAAAGTTAAAATTGTCTACAAGTAGGCAAACGTGGTTTTCATCAGACGGCAGCATTATGGTGTTTCTGTTTTTTATTTATTCAAGTGAATGCACAAAGTTTAGTATAAACTACTGTTCATTAAAAAAACATCCATCCATCCTTCCATCCATCCTTCCAATCCTGTATCCAGCAAAATATGGCAGTAAGTTTGAAGCTTCTACCTGGAAACATATGGCAGAAGGCAGGGGACACCCTGGATGGGATGCCAGTGCATTACAGGAGACACTAAGGCTTATGTAAACATAAGAATTTGCTTAAGCACATATCCTTTGGACTGTGGGAGGAAACTGGAGAACCTGCAGTAAAGATGGGGAGGCTTTTCAAACGCCATGCATGCACTGATATGTCCTACCTGCCATATCCACCTGACCCTCGTGTTAATCACTCCCAGCTACCTCTCGTTAGCTCCCTTGTTTGTTCTGTATATACATGCTTCCCAGTCATGTGTTCCCCAGTCCAGCCAATGGCATCACTCCTGTCAGTCTGGTCTGTTCCTGTTTTAGCACTCTCTTTTTGATCCTCCATGATCTGGTTTATTTCCAGCCCCTGTTTGTTTAAGTTTAACAAAACCTCCTTTGTTTCGCCAAACGCCAGTCCTCGAGTGCTTCGTTCCTCGTAGCGTGACACATACAGACCATCAGATCTGGGAATCAAACTTACATCACCGGTGGTCTGAGCTTATAGAGGTACCCAGTGAGTCACTATGCCCTAATCCAAATGCTCTCAGAGAAGTACACAGATTGTAACTGTTCACATGCTTGATGTGACTCATATAAATAAATGTTCTTGGGTTTATGAGGTTAACCACAAGTTAATATAAATTAAAGATTTTTTTCTGGCTCATTGGTCGTTTACCCTAAAATGTAGGACAGCGTCAATTATGTCTGTCCCCTCAGGGCGGATTCAACAGAGTATGTGTTACAAGAACAATCTGGGAACGGAACATACGTGGATTAATTAATGACCAGATAATTGTTAACATTCAGGTACTACAGCAAATGATGCCTGTGAATATTGGGAAACAGTGGTGACATTTCACAACTGATGATGAGATCTCAAGAGGGGCATCGCTGTCTTACCGTAACTACATGTGGATTTTGTTTGTAAGCCTGTAAGATTTTGTGATAAATCTACAGTGATGTTAGCATCAGAGTGCTGGCCAGCTGCCTTCCCCCTAAGCTCTTTGAATTTGTCTCTGCCCTTAATTAAATCCTTCCATTTCATTGGCTGAGCCACTGGCACTGAGCCAGTGAGCGGCCTCTATATATAATGGCAAGAGCTGTAAGTCTGAAACAAAACACTCACACTGAACTGATTTTTTTTCTCCTCTGGTTCTGAAAGAACTTTGAACATCACGGGAGAAAGTTTCGGAAAATGTGTAAAGGATTAGCGGCTTTGCCCCAAACATGTCTGGAGAGGTGAGACTCTTTGTTGTGTACCCCGTTCGACATTTCAGTCTGACAAAAAGCTTCAAACAAGCTTCAAATATTAATGTGCTCTGGTGCTGTATAGATAAAGACTTTATCTATTGCTTATTTTCATTTGGTGAGTCTAGTTTTTGTCTGCGGCTACACACCGAGAATTGTTATTTATTTGTTAATTTTCCTCAGTTTGTTCATTCATAAGCTTTTTTGTGTGAATGGTTTTTTTCATAGAAGTAAGAAAAGGTTATAATCTCTGCAGAAGCTGGAAAGAATATAACAGAACACACACACATACACACATACATGCATACATACAATCTGAAACATTACATGCATACAGTTTAGATTTTTATTTTGTTTGTGATTATTCTAGAACTTGCATAATATACAGGAAATCTGGAATTGAAATTCTGGCAAAATAAACACAGGCATGAATACACTGTAAAAGTGTACAAAGAACTTACAAATTTAATTGTTTGTTATGTTAACATTTTAATTTAACGGTAAAATGTTTACAGCGTCATGTACTAAATCTTGTAATCAAATTATCGGGTTTGGTTGATTGTATTTATTTTTTGTTTAGTAATAGAAAAAATAAAAGATGTTTTACATGTTATAATTTAAAAACTAGCTAATGTGTGGTTTTGTGAATAAAATGTTTATTGGATCGGCTCTATTCAATGCTTATTAAATGATTAAGAGTTTTAATGAAACCGTTTGGGTAAAGAATCTTTTTATTTGTCTTGTCTTTTTACTTGATATACGTACAAACATACATTAGAAGCCAAATGGACTTTGAACTGCTGCAGCAATAAAACGTAATAAAATATTATAGCCTTGTAATATTTGTCTTTGAGCAACAATCACTTAATTCCCATTTTTAATACCCAGGGCTAAAGAGATCAAGACTAAATTAGGAACTCTGCTCCTGAAGCCTGAGAACGGCATCGACCTGATCATCCCCTATGCGGAGAAGGTGGAGAAGAAGCCGGAGAAGCTTCAGAAGTATGTGTACGGAAAGACGCATTGTGCGCGGCGGCCGCCCAGCCGAGGAGGAGAGAGGGTGCTTCAGAGCCGAGGTCTTGCTGAACTGTCTGTGTCAGAGAGCCAGAGGCAGGATGAGCACACAGGATATTTCTTGCCGCTGCCCCACGCTTTGCGTTGTTGCTGATTTCTAATTTTAGGATAGAAAGATTTGATTAATCTTTCTAGGGACTGTGAGTTTTAAATTTATAGTCATGGTTCAAAAGTCACCGTACTGACGTCCCTCCCAAAACCATTATTAGAAGCTTCCACGAGGCCCAATAGGCGTGTGGGCGGTTAGGGTTCAATTATTTTATAAATAGTTCAGTGAATCACCTTGCGGTTTTACTACATCAGCTGAGCTGAAATCACATGTGCATATTCATTGTGCATCCATCTCCCCCGCTGAAAAAACCGCTTATGCTGGTAACTGGTTTTACCTGGTCTAAGATGGTCATGCCAGCTGGTCAGCTACCATAAACTGGTCAAGCAGTCAAAGCTCAGGCTCAGGAACATCCTGGATCGGACCTGCGCCTTCCGTTGCAGTCAGTTTAGTGAAATCCCTTGCATTTGCTATTGGCCACATTAAACTAATTTGCAATCGATAAATTTCGATAAATAAATATGTATGCAAACTGAGCACCTCAGATATTCACATCATGTCAGCTATACAGCCAAACATTACATGCATAGCATGCATTGCATAGTTTTTCCTCAAAGCAATTTAACAGAAATAGAGGTATAGGTTAGCATAGAAATTCTTTAATTTTAATATTAATATAATACAGTATTTACTAAATTTGCAGTGGAAAGAATTATGGTATTGCAATATTCAATATCTTGGGCCCTTAGTTAAGTAATAATAAATAAATAAATAAATAAATGATTTTCAATAATTTTTAAATGAAATAACGAATTTATTTGTTTTTAAGTTCTAGTGTGTTACATGGTAACCAAGTTGATTTGTAGTACAAATATTATGAGAATTTCTGCGGAGGTTAAAGTATTAGTGGCGCGTTAAGGGACACGCTGTGGGCTGAACCTGAATGACGGCTCATTAGTACGGCCAGTTTCAGAGACCCGCTAACAGAAGGTACAACCACAGGGATTTTAATTTGTCCAAAAGTATGAGAAAGAGCGAGAAAGCTGGGGCAACGTGGTTTCTGTGAAACACGCTTCTTACGGTTTGAGAAAGTTAAACAAGGCTCAACGTCCAGAGATGAGTTCACAGAAAAAAAACAATTAGGACTTTAGACAGAGAGAGAACCGGAGGCTCTGAAGTACTTCCAATAAAACTTTAAAAATTTTCCACAACCAACCACTCTGATTGCAGTGCTGTTAAATCAAGTGCTTTTACTAGTGTGTAATGCATCCTACCTTAGTGAGAGGGGAGACCTTTTATACCCTGTAGTGTGATGGAAGCGATTGGACCTGGTTCTAAAGCAGTATGAGTATGAGAGATTACATTTACGGTCTACGAAACAGAGCCATGTGGCCGTTACTGACAGTAACTGAGTGTCTGCAAAGCCTAAATATGATGACTGTTACTGACATATTAGTTCTACACTCAGAAAAAAAGGTACCAATTTGTACCTTTGCTTGGGGCTGTACCCTCAAGGGTAAATGTACCCTTTAAGATACAGAAATGGACTGAGGAACATTTTTGTACCATTGGGGGCACAGTAATGTGATTTGTACCTTGGGGATGTTCCTCAGAGTCCATTTGTCATGAACTACTGTATACTGTCAGAAAAAAAAGTACCAATTTGTACCTTTGTCACTGGGCCTGTACCCACAAGGATCTGCCAATTGTACAGCTTAGCTGTAGGTAATTGTACCTTTTAAGGTACTGAAATTGACTCTGAGGAACACTTTTGTACCATTAGGGGTACATTAATGTTGTTTAGACCTTGGGGAATCCATTTCTGTACCCTAAGGTAAGGTATAGTCCCAATGACAAGCAAAAGTGCAAACTGGATAGATTAATATTAAATTCACTTTAGATTGGAACTGGTTGACCGTGTAAATTATTTTGACTTCCCTGCCTTGCATTATTGTACAGTATATAATGGCGGACATTATACAACTATGAAGATTTAGGCTATTTCGAGACGTGAAGCACCACTTAAAATGAGTGTAGCCTGTGAGCAATTTCCTGTGCATTAAGCAAAATATGTCCAACAAAGTATAGAAGACCAGATTTTTTTTTAATTGTGTGATTTGTGGCTTTTGTACTCAGAAGACTTTTGGTTTTAATCTTTTTTGAAGTCTTCTAAAATCTAAAAAGGACTCTTTTCAATCTGTCACTGAAATCACTGTTTATGGAGATTTTGCAGTACAGGGATAAAGCATCATCAAGCTGTCTATACACAAACAAACGTGTCCGTGGCAAAATGTTGAGATTACAGGATCATATCACAAACGTTACAAACGTCTCTGAAATAAGCTGGTACGCTAATTCTAGTTGTCATTCATTTTGATGTTCAAGTTAGGAATTATTTAGTATGTATCCATTAATGTACTAGAATCAATTTCATAAACAGTCCCTTTTCTGAAGCGTCGAACAAAAACAAGGAATTAAAATCCATTTCTGGTTGGGTTTTAAATGTTTATGTTCATTCCCTATTAACTGAACTCAACTGCTTCAACAGGTGCCTTAGGTAAATTTTAAAAATAATGATTTTTAATGAAAGGCAAAATTTTGCCTTTGATTAAATTAAGCAATCATTTGTTTTATTACATGTGACAGCTATATATTGTGAATTATACTGTCCTTCGTGTTGACCATCACCTGATTGTGTATAAAAGGTTACTTTGTAGGAAAAAAAAAACACAATTAAATCCAGAAATCAAGGCCATGTGAAAGTGGCTGCTCTGTTGCTGATGGTCTGGTGTTTGTTTCTAAGGCCAGCCTTTGAAGAAGCAGCGCAATGGCGTGAATCCCTGGACCGAGTCCTCAAAAACAGCTGTAAGTGACTTTCATCTAAGCTGAAAGCGTGTCGACGCATGAGAAATTGATGCCAATGAACAAAGCAGTCATCATTTTAAAGTCATCCAGATTAATGAACATGATAAGTACAAGGTTATAGTTCCTCAAGGTTATTGATTTGTGGATCACCGGGAGTCTGTTGTGGATGCAAATGAACACTGAATGCCATTAAACATAGCAAAAGTGCCTCCTTAAGTGTCCTTCTGTGGTAAGCGGTGATTTCATTGGTATATGTTCAGTTTAATGGGAGACTCTGTCAGGAAGCCTTTTGATACAAACCTAGCCTTCTGTGATATATAAAGATGCTTGATGTCCAAGTCTTGAATTGCTATGTTTCAAACATATGGCCTTCGTGAGAACGGGCTTGGACCCAACTTTGATGCGAAAAATGCACAGCCATTAGCATGACTAAACACTGAAGAATCCTGAGAGACTGAGAGAAATGATCTTATCATTAGCCGTATCGTTCAAAAATAGAATATATATATATATGTGTGTGTGTGTATACATATATAATGTAAATGCCCATCTCCCACATCATAGGCTAAGATCATAATTCTTGAGTTATTACATTCATTGATTTTCAAATGTAGTGTAAATTTTTATTTATTGCCTTATTTTGCGCAAATCATAGTGAAATAGTGCAATTTTATATATTTTTTCTCCTTCAAGAACTTGAATTCTTTAAAAGTCAAATGGGATGCAGTTACACTGCATTGTAATTTTGTTGGGTTTTTTTTCCCCAAACTTGCATACTGGATGTGCCACTGCCAGCTAATGTAGACTGCCAGCTAATGTAGACTGCCAGCTAATGTAGACTGCCAGCTAATGTAGACTGCCAGCTAATGTAGACTGCCAGCTAATGTAGAATATCTTGCAACAATGTTCCAGACTTTGAAGTTTGTTTAGAGGATCTTTTTTTCATCAGCAAGGAAAATTCTTTTCAGAAGTCATATATAATATTTCATTTTTATTATTTTAGTAACTGCGAAAATAAATAAACAGAATATGGAGTCTTAAACTGCTTTCTTGGAAAATACATGTTTTTTCACTGCCAGTGGATTCTTATTTTAAAAGTCGGTGCTCAGACATATCAATTTATTAAGTTTTAGGATACACCAAAGAGCTGTTTGGATTACACCAGCGACCGTGTGTCACAACATCTCCCCTAAGGCAGGACAGCTGAACTGAGCTGGCCAGCCACACAGATTCTTTAAGTGGAACAGTTTGTCACGTCCTGCTCCCGTCAAGATTAATGAGTCCTGACTGATTTCTGCATGTCAGAGAGGGAGAATGCATTTTCCATATGGTCTCCTTCACAGATGGGCTGGCCACTTTCAGGAGCTTCCTGAGGTCTGAGTTCAGCGAGGAGAACATTGAGTTCTGGGTGGCTTGCGAGGACTTCAAGAAGACCAAGTCCCCAGTGAAAATGGCAATTAAGGCCAAGAAGATCTATGAGGAGTTCATTCAGACTGAGGCTCCCAGAGAGGTTTGAGTTTTTCTCAGCCCAGATTGTTTGCATGCTGAGCTGACAGCTTCAGACACTATGATTGATGACCACCATGTGAATAATGCTCACCGGTTTGTAATGAAAACTAGTAAGACGGAGAGACAGATGTCTCTAAATACTGGGGGGGGGCTCAGCAGGTTGGGAATCTGTGCCAGAAGGTCACCAGTTAAAATCCTGTGGTTGACAAATTGGTTTCACCATTGGCCCTTAACACCAATTGCTGTAGGCCAATAGTCAACAACTTTTTTTACAATGAGACCTACTGTACACAAAGAAAATAATCTGGGGTGTGACGGTACATTATACCGACCGGGGAGTGGGCAAAGCCGAGGGTCTGATTGTCACGATCAACTGGGAGTGTCTTAAAGATCGATCTGCTGATCGCGGTCGGTCGGTTGGTGACCAGTGCTCTATGGACTGTCTCACCCATCTTTGTCAGTCATATATCCCTTTGGATAAAAGAATTTGCTAAATATATTATTGTAAATATTGTACAGCTAACCCTTCAGTATCGTGGGTTTAGGGGCACAGGGCCTCCGCAATATGGAAAAACATGAAAGTTTTATAAATGGGAAATCTGCCGGTTGTGCCATTTGATAATAGATTCATTCTTTGCACAAGAGAAGTAAGAAAACTTTTCTAAGCGACAAGCCTGGATAGAGACAAAGGGATCTGTGATGCAAGTTTGTCACTGACTATGCATGTCTTCCTACTGTGTGTCATATGTGCAGGTGAACATTGACCATTTCACCAAGGCTGTGACTCTGAGGAACCTGGTGGAGATCTCCCCCAACACCTTTGACCTGGCCCAGAAGCGCGTCTACGCCCTCATGGAAAGGGATTCCTTTGGCAGGTTTCTGAGATCTGACCAGTACCAGGAACTGATCAAGTAATCACTGAAGACATCACAAGTGATGCCCTGTGGTCAAGTTTAACACTGAGTGCTAAAACCTTTACGACAAAATTCGAATTTGAATTTAAAAAGTATCAAGAAAAGCACAAATTATTTAATTGAAGCTCAGTAAATATTTTATTAATTGAATAATTGAGGAATACATTTTACAAACTACAAAATACATTTAAATTCCTCCTTAAACACCAAAAAGTTCCTTAACATTTAAAAATATCACCTGAATGGATAAAAATAAACAAATAAATAAAAATAAAGGGATACCAAGTCTGTAGTACTAACATTAGCTCTGGGCATTTATGTACATCATAGCCCATAGCATTATATGCAATTAACCAAAGATTTGAAACTTTTATTGCCTGTTCCATGTCCTGAATTTCCAGGTTCAATATTGTAGACTCAAGTAATAGTTCTCCCAAGTTTCGTAACCTACTTTTTATCTTAGATGCAAGTAGCTTCATATAGGACAATCAGCCTTATACTGTAGAACCAAGTGCATTTTAACATTGTGCAATGACAAAGTACTTTGAGTCAATTATAGCCAAAAACATCAGGTTCAGGTGCAGGTTCAGCACACAGGTTTATTGTTGTTGAGACTTGATGCTTTTAGCCAAAAAAAAAAACCAAACAAACTGAGTCATAGCCGTTCCAAACCTCATGTGTTTTTTGTTAAATCCAGCTGGCACAGATGAAAAGACAAACTAATTTGTTATGACTGCATTCAGAGCTCACAGAAACACAATCACATGTTCTTACATCATACGCTCTGAAAACGAAAACATGAATTTGAATTTGTCTACATCAAAAACTCAATGGAGCATTTTTATGAAGGGCGTATGGACTATAGGGGCGTGTCCCTAACAATATTGTGGGAGTATCATGTGTGGTCAGTGGAGCAAAGGGCTCAGTGCTGATTGGGTCCCAACCGATGTTTCAACCAATCTTGCGCCCAGAGCCACAGCCAGCTATGAGGTCATCGAGGTCCGGACCTTGGTAATTTTTTAAGAGCTAAAATTATCATTTGAAGCTAAATATTCACCTGAATAAAAAATTAAGCTCACTAACGTTTCACATAACTAATTAATTTAAGAAAATAAACAGCTTATAAAAGGGATAGTATCACTATTTTTCAAACGCTGGCTACAGCCCTGAGAACACCATTGCTTGTTAGACTTAATAACTCACGCTGAAAGTAAACTTTTGCTTGAATGTTTGTCACAAGTACAGTGGAGTACTGAACTAATACTTTGTTCAATTGTAACCATGTCAGTGTAAGTTGCTATGGTGGAAATCACAAAGAGTGGATCTCGGTAAAAAGTTGAACAGTGTTTCAGAGAGATAAGTTAAAACCATTATGATTAGCTGCATATTTGGGGGCTTCAGTGTAACCCCTCTACAGTAAAAGAGTACTGAGGACTTGGTGGGTTAAAGTTCAGTAAGGAACATCATCAATTTTAAGGCATGTGTTTAGATGCTAATTAAATTAATTCAACATTCAAATTAAGTATATTGTTCATTTTTTTACCACACGTATACTGTCACTAAACAAAGCCTTATTTTATTAGCATAGTTATTTTCACAATATCATAATGCACTTATATAATATTTGCATCTAATATTGCACAATATTACTCTAGTAACCATCATTACTCTGGAGGAAATTGTATTATCTCCATATATTCCACTTTTATTACAGATAGCTGCAACCAATAATTGTGTCTGCCTAGTTGTATTCTATCGAAAACTATGTTCTGGTTCTCTGTCCTGCCTGTTGTCATACAGTACAATGCTGTTATCGTTACATTTTTATCATGAGGTTTACAGCCTTATATAGCACTCAGATATTTAGCACTGTGCTAAGTCCTTATCTTGTCCAAAGATAATTAGAAGCCACTGCAGGTCAGATGAAGGATGGAGCTTTTGTCTTTATTCAAACTTTCTGCTTTTAATTTTGCAACTTTTCTCCATCTGAAAATTAAAAAAAAAAAAAAATCAACATGACTTACTTCACTGCAGCATGAGGAATCTGGTGCTCAATAGTGTTACTCACAAATGTTCACATTTTCTAATTAATACAATTCAATTTTTAAAAACGCGACCTCTAAGACCATTCATAAGGACTTACTGCCAGTGCAAATATTTCATATATTTGGCATATATATAAATATATATATGTGCATGTATTTCCTGTAGTTCACAATATAAAGATGAATTAATACATGAAATTCTTCAAGATGTATTTATTTTTTTTATGTAAATATGTTCAGATGTAGCACTTAAGTTATTTTTACCGATGCAGTTATGATTTAGAAATGAAGAACGAGGCATTTTATATATATATATATATATATATATATATATACACACACAAATAATTATATATATATATATATATTTAAGCTGTTATAAAGCAAATAATTTGTATAATTATTTGTCATCTTCTTTTGTTGTGTGAAGGTGATTTCTGTTCATTTCCCGCAAAAGGACATTGTTGTTCAAAACTGATTGAATACTCTGAAAAAAGAAATCATGGACATCAATAAGTTTTGGTGTGAGGCCGTGTACTTCCCCGGATCGTCCCTAGGATCACTGCAACCCTGTATTATGATGGATGGATGGATGGATGGATGGATGGATGGATGGATGAACGGGTGGACAGACGGATGGGTGGATGGATGGGAATTTAAATAGTCCTCTTCCAGTGTCTCCACTTCCACCACATGAGAAGTTAGGGGGAATTTATGTTGTGCTTTCACAGGACAAAGGCAGTTTGGTGCAGCTAGATCCAGTGAAAGGTCAGAGATGAGTGTGGAAATGAAAGGGGCATTTTGCCAACATAAACATGTACCAGGATGCACTTGCATACATGTGCTGAAGATCAATCACTGGGACCATCTCCGGAGGACAAGGCAACACACGGAGCAAAAGGAATTTTGCGGATTTTCATTCACTGCCGTTATACAAAGATACCGGCATGCTTGATTTATTTGTAGACTATTTATAGTCTTTCATTTTAATTCATGGGTTTTAGTAATCATATATATATATATTTTTTTAAATATTAATAAAGTTCCAAAACAAAACATTTCTGAAACCAAAATAAAGTTTTCCCTTAACTTTGGGTTGAGCATTGGGGCGGTTGAGGTCTCCACCCATTAAAAGGGGTCCAGGGGGCTGTATTGGCTGGATTTCATTATTGGGGGGGGTGTTACAATACACCCATCCCCCCATAATTTACACCCATGGTTAAATGCATATACAGTGGTACCTTAGTACTCGAACTCATTAGAACTTCTCGAATTTCTTAAAAGTCGAACCAATCAGTTCGAAAAAAAATTACCTAGAACTCGATCTGAATCTCAGAAGTCGAACCGTGAACGCTGACCTAAAATAACTTGTACAGCGGGGAAATGAGTCACGCGGCACGTCTCTCAGTGGAAACAAAGGGTAATGCTTCAGTCTCAGCCTTGCATTCGCTATGACATCATTGTTTGGGGTGATTGTGCTTTTTTTATTGAAAATATCAGGTAATACACTGATACACCATTTTGTATCATTTTGGTAGCCATTGCTGTAATTTTTTGAGGCCGGGAACCAATTACTTGGTTTTCCATTATTTCTTATGGGGAAAATTCGATCAGAACTCAAACTTTTTAGGATTCGAACCCGAGTTCTGAACGGACTAACTTTGACTTCTGAGGTACCACTGTATATAGCAAAGCAAAAAAAAAACAAACGAAAAACACCCAAAGGTACCCATCAAGACACGCCTGCCCGTAAATACAAGCATTCTGTGTCATTTAAGCCAAATCCTATGTTACTGGACAGCCACTAGAGACTTCACTGCAGCTGAATGCCCCAGTGATGTTTCAATAAGAAAACTCCTTCAACAATATGACAGTGAACTTAGGAGGAGAACCTAAAACATGAAAAACTTTTTTTTTCTTCTCCTTAAAACAAATTGTCAGGTTGGCTCTGTGAAAATGCTTCTTTTTTTGAACCTGGATAAAATGTGGATATAATTATTCCATCGCCATGCCGACCATCGGCGAGTCCAGGAGCGAGTGGAAATCAGCTGAGGTAATTAAAGCAGAGATTAGCACTGAGCGCGATCGTCCCTCCGGCCCTCTTTCAAAGCGGAGACGGCATAGCGGAGACGGCATAGCGGCCCAGCAAACACCCTCTGCACTCCTGTTTCACGTATGATTTATGTACTGGTGAGTTAGCTGCACCATATAGGGACAGACGTGCTCTTTGAAGCCTTATGCAGGAAATACCAGGTCAGACTACATATTTTCCCCTGTAATATGATTATCCACAATATTGTAATCGTCTTATTTTGGTTATTTATATATTTTGGTTTACAATGTGTCAGTTTTGGGGTTGGGGTTTGTACTGTCCTTGCATGACTTTTTGTTGTGTTTTATGTGCTACTCTGGAGTCAGAAATTTATGCTTGAGTTCCCTAAAGTCCATCCATCCATCCATCCATCCATCCATCTATCTCTCTATCTGTGTGTCTCTCTCTCGCTCTGTTGATCTATCTATTTAACCTATTTTTTCCTTATCTCCCATAAGCTTGTTTTCCTATGGTCCATAAATCTAGATAAAATGTTCCTTTACAAATTTCCCTACAAGGAATTAAAAGAGTTGGACAATAAATAAAATGTCAGGAAAAAATGAATAGTCCACATCAGTAGCTTCCCCCGTAAGGTCACGTGTCTGTTTATCTGTTATCATTTATTTCATTCCTGGAAACTAAACTTTGACTCTGAGCATCTGAACACACCATCCATTTGCCATTTCACAGATAGATTTCCTGTCTACATTATTAATTGCGACCATAATAGGCTGAGTTTGGTTAGTAAACTAATTTCTCACAGTAGGACAGTGAGTACCGGATGACATAAGTTGTTAGTTGCTTGTACTAAAGGCCCAGATGTGAAATTATTCCAGAATCAGAACACACTGTTCTGACACTGAGATTTAAATATGGAAGACAGATACTAGCAGAAGCTGTTTATGTGGGAAATGGCTGCGGTTTTCTTGATAATGTAAAAGAAGCTCTTAAATTAAACCTTTAAAAACGTTAAAGTCCTTCCTACATGGACCAATGGCTGTTGAATTCTTGTAATGACACATGAAATAATGCAGCTCGGGCCTTTAACTGACGCTCTAAAAATAGTCGCTTTTTAAGCTTTCTGGCTGTTCTCAAAGGTAGACATAGATGGGTATCTGTTATGCACGTAAGCCAGCCATCCTGCAAATGCGAGGCCTTTGTGTCCTCTGTGACTTGAGCCTGTTAGCCAATGCAGAGATGAAAGGCATGAGTTGGTTGAGATGTGATTAGGCGTGAAACTGTAGCCAGTCTACATGTGTGTATTTCTGGCTGAATACATTGTGGTGCAGTTTGGGGTGGGCCTAAAGCAGACCTACACCTCACCCAGAGCCTTCGCTGGTCCCCCCCCCGCCCTTTCTGGTCTGTCTTATTAGTGTTATAACACCCCCCTCAATCCTTTCAACCAATGAGCCGAAAGTTTAGGTATTTATGTGCTACAAAATAAATCTGGCCTTGTTTATTGTCTCTCCTCCCCCCCTCCCTCCCGGGTACGGCACCCAAGCCCAGCTCCAGAGCAGATGGAACGATCAGCAAACATACAAACGCAAGCTGCTAATCGGACCCACTCTCGCATCTCTCGCCGAAGTGCACCGCATCTCAGCAGGACATCTGGGTCCAGTAAGAACCAAGGAGGCTAAATGTGAAGCCCATGATGTGATTCCCTTAGACGTGCTGATTCATGGGAGCTGCACCAGCGTATGTGTATGTTTCCTGTAAACCTTATATGAGTCGGGTAAATTAGGGAGGTAAATATTTGTAAATGTAAATGAGAGGAAAGTTGGCTCTTAAACAGGGAAGCATCCTGCCTACTGAATAACAACCTCTAAAAATGATAAATTATAATATTTATATGAAGGATGTGTGATTTCAGATCAGTTTCACTAAAAACAATTAAGAACTGAGTTACAGCAAGAATGAAAACCTACCATGGCCTTAGCAACACTAAGGTTATTTGACCAAAATTGCTCTTAGCAGGAAGGACTTTTCTAACATCCCATGCATGGTGCCCCCCCTCTTTGTGTCCTGTGCTTCCTGGGATAGGCTCCAGGCTCACCCTGTACTGCAGTGTTTCCCAATCCAGTCCTCGGGGATCCACAGCCGCTCCACGTTTTTGCACCCACCAAGCTTTATGCCAGACTGTCCACATTTTTGCTCCCTGGGAGGTAGCAAAAACGTGGACTGCCTGTGAGTGCCCAAGGACCAAATTGTGAAACACTGCTGTACTGGATAAGCAGCTATGGAAGATGAATGAATGAATGAATGAATGAATGACTTCAGTGGAAAGGAATGTGAAAAGCAAAATGCATTGCAAGACCAACTAAACATAGCTGTGAAACTTTATTCAGCTCACCTTCAGTTAAAGTACTTACATTACATATAGTTTGCTAAAGTTGTCAGTACAGCTGATAATGCAAGTAGGATTACAGTGAAATTACAGTCAAACAGCTTGTGATGAGAAGTACAAGATGGCAATTAGCAAATAAGACATGAATAGAAGTAGGAGCAAAGTCAGTGTGTTTTCAGAGTGTTTATAGTCTCAAGACGTTACAAATATTATATAAAGTTACTCATGGTTAACAGTACAATGCCTAGCCTGTGCTGATGAATTACTGAAATACAACAATACAATATGGATTTCCTAAACTTTTAAGATTTTTAAAAGCTATTATTTCCCTAAGACATAAAATCAATGCTAAATTTAATTGGTCCCTAACAGCAAATACATTTTCCTTATTGTATTTCAAGCATCTTTGTTTATATAAATTGCAAATAAAAATCAGGAGAATTGTCTCATAAACTAAATTCTTCAACTTTGGTTTGTGCTTTAAGCAGTGGTGGAAAGTTCAGGTCCATAATGTACAAATCCAGACCAAGGTTTTGTTTTAACCAACCAGTTGAGCACTATGTGACTGTGAGTCTATACTCAACTGCTTGGTTGAAACAAAACCTTGGTCTGGATATGTACTTTATGGACCTGAACTTTCCACCTCTGGTTTTAAGGTGTTTTATTGAATCAATGAGGCCAATTTATCTTTTATCAGGTTTTCAACTCTCACAGTATATTCATATTATAAATTTACATTTATGTTTTCAGTTCTCCC